ACTGCCAATCTCACCCAAACTCTTCATTCTCTCTGTGTCAGATGCAAACCTTCCTGCACTCTCCACTCCCCGGATGATTTTGGGCTTCCCTGGTCCTGATCCAATCTCCAGTGGATCCCCTCAAAACCAAACTTCTCACTCTGCCCTCCAGGGTCCACAATGCTTGCAACAACAGCCCTAACATGTTCCCTCCCCTTTTGCAGAGGTGACAATTCAGGGGCAGCAGCAATAGCCTCATCCTTCCACACTTCAAACTCTCCACAGCTGGGAGGGGTGAGGTCTTTCTCATACAGCGCTGATTCCAGATCACTGCATTAAAACCCAACGCTTGGCAAGTCAGGCCTCCTGGCTCAGCTGGCCAGCCCCTCTCTCTGCCTCTCACTGACTACGCCCCTCCCCATTCTGTGGCGCTGGAGAATTTTGCCTCACAACCTTCCTCTCCCAAGACTGCCACCTTCAAAATCCACGAAGACAACAAATCTAAAGGCCAGGTTTTGGGTTCCTCTTTCATCACCAACGTTGCCCACGAACTGGATTCACCCACTCCTGCGATCACACCCTCAGCTGTTCTCCCTTCAAAATCTGACCACAGCCCCTCCCTCAGTTCAGTAACTGCGGAGATACCACCTCCACCCCATCAGGATTCCCTGTCCTGGGACCTGGGTTTTTTTGTTTTGTTTTGTTTTTTTGAGGTGGCGGGGGTGGGGGTCTGTTAGCTCCTCTAATTAATTCCTTACCCCCTCTGGCCCACCAGCCCCTTGATAGTAATAATTCTTACTTTCCATGACCTGTTGCTGCATTTGCATGATAAACCAGTACCCTGAATGAATCCTACCACTGCTGTCACTATACCTGTATTTGGGTTGCTGACAGATAAAATCATAAATCACAAGAAAAGTGGCACTATGAATTTCTGTGAATACTATAGCTGAGCACTCACCACATGCTTGGTGCATGGATTATGTCATTTCATCTTCAGAACAACTCCAGATAGTGGATATTAACATCATTCTCATCTTCAAGGGGAAGAAACTGAGTCTTTGAGAGGTCAAAACGTGCCCAGTCACACAACTGAGGGAGTGAGGGAAGCTGGATTCACACCAATAGGCTGCCTGGCAGTCCCGAGTCTTCGCTTGGCTGCTGTGCCACAGTCAGCTTCATGAAGCCTAACCTGGCCCTCAGAGTTGCCCATAACCATCTGGCTCTTTCCCCAGCAAGCTGTAATTTTCCAGTGCAATTTTAAACCTTCTTCCCTTCTCTCAAACCACTGACTTCCCTGCCTTTCCCCTCACTCTCAGCAGATGACTGTTTCCTTCACAAAGAACGCAGAAGCCATCAGACCGTTTCTCTTGTCCTCCTGTCGTGAAACGTGAAAAACTTACCTGCATCTGCCTCCTTCATTGTGCCTTCCCACCTGTTACAATGTGATATTTTCAAAGACAATAAATAAATAAATAAATAAATAAATAAATAAGCAAGCAAGCAAGCACGACTATAACATAACAGTCATGTTTTTTTTCCAACGGGAGAATGAAGCCATTTTATTTAGGGGAATGTTAAAACAAAGCCATATACAATCTGTAACAAATACAATACAATTGTTTGTTCCCTAGTCCTGAATAATTACAGTATATACAAAATCTGTAAGGCACTGGTTCCCCCAAAAGAACAAATGAGTCTTCTTGTGAAACGGACAACGAAACCCCTATATTGCCAACTTTTCTCTAAAAAATATGGCATTTTTTCTGTTTTGTTTTACAAGAGGAATCATAATTGCTGAATTAAGTCACTTCTGATGTCATTTCTTTCATTTCCACTGCTATGTGTCTGGGTTTTCTAAGGCAATATAACTACTAAACATGTTCAAGTTTAAAAAACTATATTTCTCTCAGTGCCGTTCCACCCACAAACAAAGAAGAATCAGATCAGACCAACAACATAACACTTCTAATGAATATGCATGACTCTAGGAACACGAAATTCAGTCATTATTAGGTACTTGCTATACTTGACTACACACCAATTGAAATGTGTCAAAGAATTCCCTGTAAATAAAATCTCAGCATGTTTTCTAAGAAGCTTTCTGTTTGGGGAATTCAAAAATGGTCACTAATGACTTTTGAGCAGTGCTTTCCAGGAGGTCAAAGGCCTGTTTCCTCATACATAATGTTCATAGCACTCTTTTTGTGATTTAACAATCTACATACTTTTATAAATAAATATTATGTTTCATTTAGTACTTTATCATCCATAATATCTTACTCTCTAATCCACATAATGGAGTTGTGCCAGACTCCAAACTGAACATAATAGTTATATATACATATATATTTATATATATATACACATATATAAACTATAAACCTGAATATCTTAGCATACAAAACTTATCTAACAACTAATAATTTAGGATTCCTTTGAGAGGGAGGGGTTAGAAGAAACTCTTAGTCTTTGAAATATCCTGACAGTAAGCAACAAATGACATTATTAATTTCTGGGTTCTCATTTATTCAAGTGAAAAATAAAATAAAATTCACTTCTGAGCCGCTAGAAATTTTGAAATCATAAAGGATTATTGGGAAATGAGTGGATAGTCTTTAAGAACAATTTAGTGTTATCTACGTAAGGTGGATTTTGGTAAGACACAGAGAAAAATCTATGCATAAATAAATTCTTGTTTCATTGAGCGACCATAATTGCTAAGTGGGTCTTTTTAAGTATCTCAGGAATGTTTTTAAAATATTAATAGTGAATAAATGAGATTGAAGATTAGAAAATAAGCTACCAATCTTTTCCAAAGCAACCAAATACAGTAAGGAGGAAGTCTGAGGACTATTTTAATTTCCTCCCATCCTTCATTGGCACCAACACCTCCCTAGAAATCTAGCTTAATTTCAAATCATCACCTCCTCACAAAATATTCTGATTTGAAGTTATCCACGTTCAAGTATCTACCAAAAAGAAAACACAATTTTATCTACAAGGTAAGCTCAACCTCACTTAAATTTAGGAAAAATCCAAGAAACAAAAACAAGTCCCACTTAACTGGCATAAATGTTTACCTGTTGTTTTGTAGATGATCTGTTTAGAGGCGCTGAAGTTTCTCTCCAAGGCTCAGATTATTAGTCACACTTAGTTCTAACCATATATTCCTTCTAGGCTATCCCTAAGAATATAACTGACACAAGAGAAAGGAACCTTTACATTATTATTGAGGTTATTTTTAATATCAATAAAAGCAGCATTCTGATTACAGTTCTACTTGGAACCAACTGTTTTCACTCTGTGAAAACGCATTTTTTTTTTTTTCAAATTCAAGGATTATGAAATTCTTCTGTCTTAGTTACAAACAAAATGCGGCTATGAAGCACTGGGAAGTAAGTGCAAAATATAGAAAGAATCCTCATGATTCTCCCAAACTGTAAGCACAGCTCACAAACTATCATTGCTTTAGAATGTTTTCTGGATGAACAAGCTACCAGCTGCAAACCGACTTCAGAAGTGAGGAAAATGTTTTCTCATGTTTCACTTAGCTGTCAAATTTTCAAAAATCCTCCATCCTTCAATCACCCAGTGGGGAAAATGTGTTATAAAACACTGCCCCCTGGAGTATTCTGGGAGGAATATCTTTAAAAAAAAAAAAAAAAAAGGACAAGGAGAAAGTACTTTCAAATTCTTTACTACCACTAACCACTACAGAATAAAAAAAAAAAAAAAAAGGACAAGGAGAAAGTACTTTCAAATTCTTTACTACCACTAACCACTACAGAATTTCAAAGAAGCAAAAGAAAATCACAGAAAGGAAATGTATGTGATTAAAGTGTACGACTTTAAACTTTATTATATTCATGTTGCTAAAGAATATTTGCCTTCTCGATGATTTTATTCATGTTGTTCCAAAGTTAAAACCCTGTAGAACTAAGTAGGTGAAGAGATATTTTGTATAAGTGCCACAGAAGAGAAAATATAATAAATTAAATAGTGAATTGAACATCACTAGAATAAAATAAAATGAGTAGGCATTCCTAAGACGTGAAATGATCACTTAAGATATACATGTTCCATCCATATTGATTTTAGAACAATAAAACACAGCAGCCCATAATATTGTGTGGCCTCCACTAACTCTCCTCTGCTGTCCCATCTAGAGGTTATGTTTCCCTATTTTTAAAATAAAATGTAGTTAAATTAGCCTGATGGATGTTTCCTCTCTATTCCTTATCTCAGATGCATACAAAATTGACAGACAACAAAAAGACATCATCTTTATCTCTACAAAATAAGGTACGCACACTTTTTTCCTTGTGCTTCTGAGATTGGCTCCCTTGCATATATAAGATACAAGCCATCTGCACCATCACTCTCCCTCGTTCCCTATCTTTGTTGACATATTCCTCTTACAACACAAGAGCAAATTACCTCTATTTTAAAGCACCCCGTCTTCAACACAGCTCATGACAATTTTATTTAATATTGATCCTTTGATTGAGAGATCAAAAGCATGTACAGGTCAATCCTCTGCACATTAAAAAACAAAACAAAACAAAAGCTTTCTTTGTGTTTAATGAGAAGGACTTTACCACGACAGAGACGCCTAACACAATCAGAAACAGAAGTGGTTCTGAAGAACACCTATCAACAATTACTTCTATTAGAGTCACATAAACCTTCATTTGTTCCATATTGCCTGAAGCTGCAAAAGGCCACCTGCAGGAATTCCAAATGTGGTCCTAGACAGGTGGTGTCTGTACCCAGTGCATTCACATTACCGTAGTGGCCCCAAATGCAGGGATGGCCAAAGTGGTCTGAGGAGGCTAAGGTGGGGTGGGGAGTATGTTTAAGATGAATTCTGTTCTATGTCCTCCAACTTAGACTGTCTTTTGGTTCACAGAGTGCAACAATATTTTACCAATGGAAAGACATGTATTTTAATTTACCTTCCAGCAGAGCTCCTGGGAAGAACTTTTGTTGTTATTATTTAAACTATAATTCTATAACCCTTAAACCATCCACATTATCTGTTTTATTTTGGCAAAATGAAAGCATCTTAAAAAAAAAAAAAAAGGCAATCCCAAAATACAGGGCTTTCTCAGAAAGCAACATGCATCATATCTTGAACAAGTTACCCAAGCGGTTTCTCCCTCCTACAAACAGACACAGATCAATCTCTGCTTCTGGGAGCTTCTCTGTCTTTGTCCAGGTCGCTCCCGGAGAGGTAAGGTCTGAACCCACTGGGAAGCAGGACGATGTTCAAGGCTTGTACTGTGGATGCTTATATGACGTCTTTTGCTCTGCCCACAAACAGAAGAGTACCTGTTGGCTTTCTGCAGAGATGCTTACTTTTCCTGTCGTATCAGAGTTTAATGTCCTGGGACTCTGACATTTTGGCAAGTGTTTTCTTAACACGCAGGGCTGTCAGCCTTGATGCAGGATTGTGAGCCCAGCATTCTGTCATGAGTTTCCCCATCTGCCTTAGACACTGAGGAAGAGAAATGTTAGAAAAATGTATCATCTGCAATGCTGGCACCTGATACAATGTAGCTTTTTAGCTTTAGGTTCATTAAGTTTGAATATATTTTTAAAAGGTACCCTTAAAACCATGTAGGAATAAAATTCTGTAGGTTTTTTTCATGCAAAATTATATATGACTAAAACAGATGTTCATGTCTTCTTTGTGACAGAAGCAAGCAGGTGGTTCTGCTGACTGTAGAAGGGTGTCTTTGAAGTTAGTGTTAAGCAAACATAAACATACCTAGGGAGTTTGTATTCCACTCAGTACTCCCAGATTGTTTACAACACTTGATAAGTTTAAATCTTTTATCTAATTCCATACTATGCAAACACAGTTATTCCTAAATCATAGCTGTCTGCTGCAGTAATAGCATCACACTGCACCATTTAACAAGATTAATGACCTGTGCACAGTATCACTAACACTTTCTCCTGTGGTACATCAATTATTGGTCTTCCTATTGAAAAGTACAATTTCACTTCATAAGAAATCCTCAGTGAAGAGATTTCAAGTAACACCAAAAGCCGACAATAACAGAGCTCCAGCATCTCATAAAGCTTTCTGCACAGCTTGCTGGAAAACACATATTATTATATAGCATTTTAGTAACCAGACACAAAACCAATGAGCCAAAGGTGTTTTTGTTGTTGTTGTTGTTGTTGTTATGTTTGTTTGTTTTGAGACAGGGTCTTGGTCTGTCAAGTGCAGTGGCATGATTCTGGCTCACTGCAACCTCCACCTTCTGGGTTCAAGCAATTCTTGTGCATCAATCTCCCGAGTAGGTGGGAATACAGGCGTGAACCACAACACTAGGCTATTGTTTGCATTTTTAAATAGAGATGGGTTTTCGCTATATTGGCCAGGCTGGTCTTGAACTTCTGGACTCAAGTGATCCACCCGCCTCGGCCTGCCAAAGTGCTAGGATTACAGATGTGAACCACCGTGCCCGGCCCAGAGATTACTTTTAAATGGCTTTTACACTTAAGAAATAGTGCTCTGTCCCTCCTTTGCAGTGCTTTGGTAGATGTTTGATAAGAGCCTGTTTTTTTGTTTTTGTTTTTGTTTTTCCAGCGGTGCTTCAAACTCATCTTGAATATTCCAGTCCGCCAGAGAAGTCTAGAACACAGTGAGTTTGAAGGCTGGGAGGGTGGAAGGAGAGGAATGTGGAACAGGAGGAGGAGTCAGGAAAGGCAAGACTCATTTCCTCCTTCCTAGCAGCTCCTTTCCAGACCTATGCAGGTTTCACCACTACATCCTTAGAGTCAAGCTGAAGGTGGATTTGTTCAAATCACATCTCATCATCCTTATTAACAAAGACACCCAGTACAGTCAGGCATCTTAACTAGGTCAACTTGTATCACTTTAACATGCTTACTTTTTTCTCTAATCAAAATGGGAGAACGCTGTACATAGGTTTGTTACAGAGAAAAATCATGATGCTTTAAAAACACACACAGAGAAATAATAGGTTTTATGCAAATGTCAAGACATTATAAATAAGGAAAATAGTGTTGTTATGCAGGCTAAACACTGACCAGCCCACTCAATATATTCTGGAACTGGCAAAATAAAATTGGAAAAGTAGAACAAGTAATTTAATAAACTACACTTATCTTCATATAAATCACTGCAAAAAGGTGCCATCACCATCACCATTAAAACAAAGAAGAATTTCTACAATGAATACATGGAATTTTGGCTAAAACAGAAGTCTATTTAGAAGTCAGTCGCAGCCACATGGTTACCTCAATTGAGCCTTACCTCATCACTGCTCCATCGGTTTGGGAATGAGGGGCGTAACTTCTTGATGCACACAATCTCTCTCATGTCCTCGTAGGAGGGGTCACTGGGCACTAGGTCATGATAAGGAAGCTGGTATTCTTCCACTATACCTAAAATGTGTTGTTATTATTATTATTTTCTGTGAAGTAGAAATAAAAGTATAACACAGCTCTCAAAGGAAAAGTGCTATCAGTGTTACAGACAAGTTCAGGCAGAAAAATAGCAAAATAAACCTTGAAAAATAAATGGTGCTTAATCTAATTTAGAAAAAATGAATACAAAGCCCAATGAAAAATATTATCATAGGTCTTCAAGACTTTCTTTCCTAATTTCCAAAAGCTAAGTAAAACAAGCATCTTAAATTTATTTCCAATTTTATAAAGAACAAATTAAAAGACAAATCTACATTAAATCTCAATGCAAATTTGCAAGACATATCCTGAATTCATATTATATAATATGTGGCTACTTCTATTACTATAGTATGAAACTATGAACATAATTTGGAAGTGTATCCTACTTGAACGAAGTGTCAGATTTACATTTTCTTCTGCTTAATTGGAGGAATGTGGTTTTGCCCATTAAAATTTAGAAAATTATAGACACCCAAAAATATTAACTATGAATTTTTTAGGTCCAAGGATTATCTGATTTTTTTCTATATTTATCCAAATTTTCAATAAGGAATATATTACTATTAGAAAAAGTATGTATTGTTAAGAGTTAAGAAATACAAATCTATAGCATCTTCATAAAAATGTATACTAAACTCTTTCATTTTATCGTTCCTAGTATTTCATTTCTACCTTTTTCCTCTTCTCCTTTAAAAATGCAGGCTTCTAGTGTCTTCTTTTTCACCTTCTCAGATTAACTCCTCATAATAATTACATTAGAGGCTGCTGCTCTGAACAGTCGGTTTATATAAAGCTACCTTGTTTTTAAGCTGAGAATAGTTTCTCCTGTATTTGGCCCACAGGCTTTCAAATATAGGCTTCTTGTAGCCCTGTTTGTTTTAGATGTTCAAGAAAACATAATTAGAAAAATAATTTTGTTCTCTACACCTTTAACTTCCACAAAGCTATCTTAATTAAGTATAAGCATGTTATTTTATAAAAGGCTTGTCTACTTGATTTTTTTTTTCTTTTTTAATACAGATTGGGTCCCAACCTATTGCCCAGGCTAGTCCTTAACTCCTGGCTTCCAGTGATCCTCCCCACTCGGCCTCCCAAAATGCTGGGATTGCAAACGTGAGGTTTATCTACTCTTTATAATGCGTGAAATCAAGGCATAGACAATCTGTTAATTTCTTGGTTACTTCTTCTTTATATTTAGAATGAGAAATTTATTCAATATCTGGTTAGAGAAAATTTCCTGCATTAACTTTCCTTTTGGACAAAACAGTTCTCTCACTTCAGAGAGAATGTGTCCTATTTCAAATTTCTTACAACAGGTTCAGAATTCCCAAAGTGATTATTAGAAGCCATTGTGCCACTGAAGATGATCTTTCTATCAAAGTGTGAATGCAGGTTGATTAACTGTTTCTTCTTTGCATTTAAATATGAACCTAAAGATGGTATGGCTCTACCAACCAAAATGAAAATTTTTAAGAGTAATAATAGCTAACATGTATTGAGTGCTAATTATGTGCCAGGCAGTTCTCATTATCTTTACATTCATTGAAACCATACAACCAAAGAAGCGGATATAATAATTCACTTCATCCTTAAGAGGAGAACTCTGAAACAAAGAAAAGGTTATAAACTGTCCAAGGCATCACAGGTAAATAGAAGGAACACGAACAAATCTCAGTACTAGTTAAGTGCATGCTGCACTGTCAGAATCTTCGGCAAGCTCATGCTTTCATGAAGATGGATTTAAATTGGCCATCATGAGGAACATCAGCAGCATCAAGGCTTTTTAATGAGAACAACCATGGAGTAACATAGAGTACTTGATACAGAAAAGCCGAAGATTAAGCTCCTTGCCTAAAAGGTGTCAGAATTTGCTCAAAGACAGATTGTGCAGCAATCAAAATAGTACAAGCAATAATACTTCTGAATATTTAAATATGTCTTCTTGTTTATTATAAGTGGTTTTACTAGGGAATCCTCATGTTTGTAGAAAAACAATATCATAAAAAATAACAATCCTCTGATACTTTAATTTCCTTTTGATAGAAAAAATCGATGTTTTCAAATTGCTTTATGAGGAAGTTTTATAAAAAATAAATACAGAAGGTAAGAAATGGGTGTCCCTCCCCACATTTATGTCCTACTGTCATCTCTGCAGAGGAAATCCCAGGGAATGGAGTTGGGGATGGGGCCCAGCAGCTAGGTGAGAATAAACTGGCAGGGACAGAAAAGGGGGTTTGATTTGATGGAGCCACCGCTGGAGGAAGAACCCAAGAGAGAAATGAGACAATACACAGAGCAGAAAACAGTGATGTTTGACAAGACAGGGGAAGCTGACAGTGTGTCTAGTGGTAGGTGAAGGAAGGAAGCAGTCAAAGATTATTCTAGGATGTCGAATGTAATTTCCTGCAAGCATTATGACTGCATCAACAGAAATAAAGGGGAAAATAAAACCAGATCTTACAGACAGTATGATAACTTGGATTTCTGATCAGAAAGGATTTGTAGTAGCTCCGATAGTAGCTTTTCAAAGATAGCACTGCTTCTTACCTCCTGATACACATCTCCTAGCAACCTCCCAAAGGATGAGGCCAAAACTATACATGTCAGCCATGATGTAAGACTGGAAGTGATTTCTGTTCAAGCTCTCGTCCAACACTTCTGGAGGCATATAGCGTTTGGTGCCAACTCGAGTGTTAGGTGGTATGTCAACTTCATTTGTATCACTAAGGAAAAAGTAAAGCAAAGTATTATAGCACGGAAGAGGACCAACAAAAATGAATCAAGGTGATTCTTAAACAATGGCTTTAGTTATTGAAAGGTGGAAAAAAAAAAACAAAAAAACTTGCCAGGGAATAAAAACAATTTCTTAAGGAGTATTTCTTGCCAAAAGCTATATTAAATATTTACAGGTTAAAACCCAATGAAAGGCAAGCTGGTACTGTGGTGCACGCCTTAGTCCCAGCTATTCTGGAGGCTGAGGTGGGAGGATAGCTTGAGTCTAGAGGCTCAAGGCCTGACTGGGCAACATAATGAGATGCCATCTCTTAAAAAAAGTTAGAAAAAGAAAAAAACAATGAAGATGAAACTCAGTCAGAATGAAGCTGCAGCATTTAAAAGTGCATTATCAATAGATCAAATTTATACCCTAAACAACTGCTAAATATATATTAAATGTCTAAAAAAACCCTCTTCCTTGCCCTCCTATTTAAACTTTACTCTTAAAATGGGCACGCACACATGACAATTTCGTGAGAAACAGTATTTCTTAAGCCAGCTGTTGTAAAGCTCTTAGATCTACAAACAAGTTTAAAAATGGGGAAGGAGAGAACCAACAAAGACATACAATTGTTTTACTCTGGCAAGGTGGGACATGTAAAAAGGCTTTCTACTATCACTATTGTTTTATGAACCAAATAGCATTTAACTTTTTTAAAAAGGAACAAAACAATAACAGAATATGACATCTTTAACTTTCTGAAAATTTTACATGGCCCATTTACTATTCCTTCCCATAGACTGGGAAAAGATTAATGACGGAGGGACAACAACCTGCACACTGGCACTTGGGTGCGGTGTGCCTCAGTGCGGTGAGCTGGAGCCACAGTTCCAGCCCCTGTTCTAAGGGTGCTGAATGACTAGGCTGATGATTATGTACAAGCCCTGCCAACACAGTACTAGGCACATATTAGACACTTAAGTACTATACCTCATCAGAAAGGAACTAAGTAGAAAAGTAACAAACCCTAGGTATAACAGATGAACAGACTATAACCAAATAAGGTATACTATAAAACAGAAAAGGTACAGAAACTCATTATTAAACTGAACTCTGTGGAAAATCTTGGATAAAACTTTCTACCTCCTGACTCCCAAGAATTTTTTTTTTTTTTTTTTGCTTTTGATTACACTCTATTGACTCTCAAGCATTTACGTGTTATTTCTCCTCAGCCTGGAAAATAGATTCGTTTATCAAATATCACACTTATCTTGCTGTCATAGATAGTCAATACCAAAACACTAGTGGCTTTAGGAAAAAACAAAAAATCAAAAAACTCTGGGTTTGATCTCATTACCTTGACCACTTCTACAACATGAAATACGTGGTGTCATTTTTTGTCATTTGAGAACATTTTAAGTGTCACTCTCAAAATTTTTACATTTACTAAATGTATCTCAAAATCATCTCAAAATTTTTATTTACTAAAATATAAAATATAAAGCTTCATTTTAGAAACTTTTAAACTCACTTCCAGCTAAAATTATTAATCTAAAATTATTTCAACAGATATGTCATCAGTGTACTCATTAGGCCCCTCAGGGTTTTCTAGGTGCAATAATAACTAGCCTGTTTTCCTAAATAAAAGTTAAGATGTTAAAAAAAAAGTTAAAGTGTAATTAAAAAACAAAACAGCTGGCATTTCTTACCATATGCAAACATAGGTCCCAGTGTTCTGGGCTCTTTTCTAAAACTGGAAAAAGAAGTTAAAATTTTAATTCTCAGCACTTACGTACTGGTACAATAGAAAATCGTCATTTGTATGTGTAAATGATAAACGACAGAGGAGGCAAGTATGCTGAGAAGAGACTTAATGGTAAACTGGAAACATGTCAGATTGAATAGATGCTACAAAAGCTCCACTTCCATTTATAAAGCACTCTCTCCTCCTACTCCACCTGCTGACACCTCTCATGGGAGGAGAGTAGGGATTTCACTAATGTGTTGCCAGCATGTTCTAATTTTAATTTCTAATCATGAGGAAGACAGCGGTGGCCCCAGGTAAGAAGTCCTGGGTCCCATGCAGAGAAAACAAACATGGGAGTTTGCAGGTGAAAAGAAGATGGTTAAAGACCTAAATTATATTCCAGAAAACAGACTAGGAAAGGGAATCAAGAAGAATCTGAAGACAATCCACACAGAAGTGCATTTAGAAAGGCCAAAGGTGTAATCTGACCACAGTTGATAAAGATTTTAGGCAACTTCATTCCGTTCTTACTCTTAGCTCCTTAATGTTTATTTGGATTTGGGAGGTCAGGGAAAGATAATGAAATGTGTGATGTAGAGATATCTATTGGAAAAATGACAGGTAACTGTGACCTAATAATAGAATTAAAATTTGTGACAGCTGGACTGTACATAGTACATCTCTAAATTCTTTTTCTAAAACACTGCAAAAACATACACTCAAGGATTTTGAATGTCGACCAAATGCCAAAAATCAGTCCCTTACGTAGTTCCTTAAATACATGCATGTACATATGTCTAGATGCATGTTCAGCAATAAGCCCTCTCTCTCCTCACCTTCCTCTCCCACCCTAGATGTTTGCCCTAGTAGTAGCTGAATAAATATTCTCCCTAGTAATATTTGAGTAAGTGATCTGGTTTCCAACTTTAGACTATCAACTCCTTTGAGCCCCAAATACTTGTCACAGTCACAGCCATTTGGTATATACCCAAAGAGCATAGCCCCAATCCCTCTCCATCTGTAGTATGTCTTGCACATGACAGAAAATTGTACTTTAAATGAAAGAAGGAAAAGTTTTGTTACACTAAACTTTGCTATGGATAATTTAAAGGGAAATATAAAAATCTCTGGTCTGTATGGGCCATAAAATGAGATCTTACCAATTTCTAGAAGGATAAATAGAATTTCGTTGAGCAAACTAATTCTGTGAAAGATCACTATTAACCTATTGGCAAGTGCCTTTAGCACCACACTTAAACAACAAACATGAGAATTACAGGTAATTCATATCTGATACTGTAAAGTGTCAGATCCTCCAAGACATTTGGCTCTGCCCCTTCTTCCCTCAGGCATGTTTCTATAATTGAAAGTCATTAGATTACATTTCTTCCTTGGATTTTCAGTAACATCATTTTACCTGTTCCCAAATAATGGCAGAGAAAAACTGAGCTCGTGTTAATCCTAAAGCCAAAAATAGAAATAAATGTGATTTAACACTGGGGTACCAAGAATAAAGGAAGAAAAAGAGAGTGGAAGTAGAGTCAGATGGTGTGGTACACATGAAAACAGAAACAGTACAACAGACAGAAGGTTCTAGGAGAAAGAAGGAGGCAGAAAAGGGCAGGGTGCCTTCTGCACTAGCTTCCTCTAGTCTCCTTGTCTACGGACGGCTATGGAGGGGAGAAACAAGGTTGACAAGAAAAGATAGATACTGCACAAGGGTTGTAGACTCAGAGACAGTAACTCCAACCCCACACAATAATCCTATGTACTGCAGTAGCTACATACATATGAAGTCAGATTATAAAACCATACAGAGGAGACATAAATAGGATACTGGTTACTTCTGGGAAGGATAGAAGGAAATGAAAAAGGAACAGGACTACAATGGGGCTATCTTCAACATTTTATTTCTTTTAAAGAGAAAAACATGGTAAATCGTTAACATCTGTTCATATTAAATTATTACATGGATGTCTCACTTTTATACTTTTGTGTATGTTTATAATATATCACAAATATAAGTATATGTAATATATTTCTAAGTATACTATAAGTTAAAAGAACCCAGCAGGATCCAGAACTAGAAAAATGTACATTTCAAGGAATACAGGATACGTTATAGGCATAAGGACGGGAAGAACAAAAGTGATATAAATAAACCGGACAAAATTACAGAGAAAATGAGCTGCTACGAAGGAGAACTGAAAATATCCCATTAAAAACAAGAGTGTTGCATTCACTACAGAAGAAATGCTCTCTCTCTTCTTCTTTCCCATGGAGAAGAACTGGAAATATTTGCACAAAGGGGTCATTATTAAACAGTAGGGTTCAGAGAATTATAAGAGTAGACAATTTTGCCCTTTTGTACTTCAATAATTAATACTCCCACTAGATCCAACATGGTTTTTGTTCCTGTTAATGTGAGTACTAAAGAGATTCAGACTTAAGTAGAATTAGAAGGAAATGAATACACAATTTGAGTAAAATAAAGTAAATTAAGAGATGTCAGATAAATTCCTCTCCAGGAGAAAAGCTTGCTTTGTTTTCAAATCATGCTTTAATGAGTATTTAAAAAAAAAAAAGAAAGAAAGAAAAGGCCTGGTGTGGGGGCTCATGCCTGTAATCCCAGCATTCTGGAAGGCCAAAGCAGGTGGATTGCTTGAGTCCAGGAGTTCAAGACCAGCCTGGGCAACACGGTGAAACCCCGTCTCTACTAAAAATAGAAAAATTTGCTGGGTGTGGTGGCACATGCCTGTAGTCCCAACTACTTGCGAGGCTGAAGCAGGAGGATCACTTGACCCTGGGAGGCAGAGGTTGCAGTGAGCCAAGATTACACTACTGCACCTTAGCCTGGGCAAGACTGAAACCTCATCTCAAAAAAAATCAATAAACATTTAGGGACAGTGGGGATGGAAGAAGATAAAACAAAAATGTCTGCAATTTTCTCAGTAAGAAGTTAATGGTAATGAGAGCCTGGGGGTAAAGGGGAAGTCAGTGAGGGAGAAGAAGGGTTCTGTTCTTCTAGCCTAGGGTCATCAGATATTAAGCCCTGTAGGGGTTTAAAAAAAATGTCCAGGTGGACTAAATTTTATGTACTACCTTCCATCACAATCTCCAGTAAAAACATCTTCAAACCTGAGCTGTTCGTATTTTGGAAGCCAGAAGACAGCAACTATATAATGTGGAAAAGGCACAACGCATATGGGAGCTATCGACTGATAATGCAAACGGGAAAACTACTCCTTTGAATTCCCAGA